CAGATTTGTCCTGGAAAGGGTTAAACCGGGTGGCTCCTTGGAGGCAAGGATTCTGAGGCTCCGTCTAACATACTTTGGACATGTTGTGAGGACAGACTGGTCCTTGGAGAAGGACATCATGCTTGGGAGGGTGGAGGGACAGTGCAGGAGGGGAAGTCTCTCTGTGAGGTGGATTGATTGAGTGACTGGGATAATTGGGACGGGAGTGTCTGAGACAGTGCGATTGGCCCAAGACAGAGCAGAGTTTAGGGCTGTTGTACATAGGGTCGCTATGAGTCACAAGGGACTCGACAGCACATAACAACAACAACAACATCAATGATATTGTTCGATAATTTCCACATTCTGTTGGCTCACATTTCTTTGGAATGGCAACAAATATAGATCTCTTCTAGTCGACCAGCCAGGTGGTTTGTCCTCCAGATTCCTTGGCATAACTTGGTGAGCACATCCAGGGCAGCATCTGTTTGTTGAAATATGTCAATTGGTATGGCATCAATTCCTGGGACCTTGGTTTTTGCCAATTCTTTCAGAGCAGTTTGAACTTCCTCTTTTATCACTTGCTCTTCCTCATATGTTGTTTCATGAAATTCTTGTATGTCCACCAATTCCTTTTGGTACAGTGACTCTGGATACTCTTTCCATCTTCTTTTAATACTTCCTGCATAATTTTTTTTCCTTTCTGCATCATTTAGTATTTTGCCCAAAGCATCCTTAAGTATTGCAACTCGAGGTTTGAATTTATTCTTCAATTCCTTGAGCTTAAGAAATGCTGAGCAAGTTCGGCTCTTTTGAATTTGATTCCAGCTCCTTGCACATTTCATTATAATACTTTGTCTTCCCTCGCTGCCCTGTGAAATCTTCTGTCCAGCTCCTTAATAGCTTCCCTTCTTCCCTTTGCTTTGGCTTCTTGGGGCTCCAGTGCAATATTTAGAGTTTCTTCTGACAGTCATCTTGGTCTTTTCTTCCTTATCTATCTATCTAATGACCTTTTGCACTCTTCCTGGATGATATTCTTGATATCTTCCCACAGCTCATCCATTCTTCACTCATCAAATCTGTTCCTGAGATGGTTTTGAAATTCAGGTAGGATAGACTCAAGGTCAAATTTTGGTTCCTGTGGACTTGATTAAATTTTTCTTCAAGATACTAAAGAGCTCAACAGAAGATTCCAAAAGGCTGCTCGGAATGACAAAGCAAAATACTACAATGAAATGTG